TTTGCTTTGGTTAATTGTATAATAAATGAAAAGAAAACAGATAGAATACAAAAAGATTAGAAAGCTAGAGTTAGTTGTTTTTTTTTTTCAAGTTTTTAACCTTTAACCAACAAATTAGAGATAAAACTGAAAAGTGACTCAATTAGGTTCGTTTTTTTAATCGCAAGAATTCTTGACAGGATTTTGTCAAGAGATGAAAAAAGATTTGAAATTAAACAATTTTAGTCAAAATACACTGTTAATAAAATTGTGTCAAGAACAATTTTTAAATTATCATAATTTTGTCAAAATAATACTTTTGATAAGTGATATGCCATCACAAGGTTAAATGGAAGATATATATGAAGATATATATACAGTGGTGTGAAAAAGTGTTGGCCCCCTTCCTGATTTCTTATTTTTTAAGCAATTAAAAAATTACCCTGTGTTTACAGTATGTTTTTACTTAATCAGAGATATTCACTTCATCACTATTTCTATAACAGAGCTAAGCGCTTAACGATTAGCATTAGGTTTTACCTTGCACATGCCATAGTCTGTAATTTTGATATGGCCATCCTGGTCCAATAGTACATTGTCCAGTTTTAAATCCCGGTAAATAATGCCCTTCTCGTGCAGAAAATTAAGAGCGATGCAAACTTCAGCAGCATAAAATCTGCAAGAAACACGAAAAAAGTAGTTGTGGGTAAGACTCATTATTAAAACATACATGTAATTAAAACATACATACAACTGTTTCATATTTTTATATATTTCAATATATTCTTGTGATGTCAAAGCTGAATTAACAGCAGCCATTACTCCAGTTTTCAGTGTCACATGATCCTTAAGAAATCATTCTAATTTGCTGATTTGGTGCTCAAGAAATGTTTAATGTTAAACTGCTTTATGTTTTTGTGGAAATTGCAATAAAAAAAAATTTCAAGATTCTTTGATAAATAGAAAGTTCAAAATAATATTTGAAAATATTTTATAACATTATAAATGTCTTTAATGTCACTTTTGATCAGTTTAATAATGTATATGCTTGCAGATAAAAAAAAAAAAAAAAAACTTACTGACCCAAACTTGTAGTTTATCTCAAGACACCTGAAACCATGCATCAACCAATCAGAATTAAGCATTTAATTGTATAACAGTTACTTTATAATAACCTGACCTAACCAATAGCGATGTGACAAGTGTCCAGTTACAAGCAATTAGTTGAAATTAGCATTGTGCATTAGCAAAAACAGTGGAATGGCGTGACAAACACACCCAATACGAAGTTTTAAGTTAAGTGTGTCCACCAATGATATTTCACAATAGTACAGTGCCGCAAACAAGGAAACCAAGCAATTGTCAATATGCTGAAAAGTCAATATACACTATATGTGAAATCAACACAGAACATTAGATAAACATATATATATAAATCATTTTTCCAGAATTCCCCAAGCGGGTACTGTGCTTCTAACTGTCAGTGTTTGCTGTCTAAAGTTAGAAAAAACAAAGATAAAAAGAAAGAAGGTGTTCAAAGTAGGAAAAATGAGCCATGACATTTCCGATCAGGTTTCACGTCTGGCAGTGTTCACCTCATGTCGGTGCGCAGCAAGGGCTCATGAGACCTTTAGGAGCAACTCATGAATATTTAGGCTCATTACCCATAATTAGCATGTGCATTTGCATATGTGAGGTGTGCAGAACGCATATTGATAGGGCTTGTCAGGGTGCGCTTCACTCACCTAATTAGCCCGTGTTTGATCTCAGTTTATCAGACGTGTGAAAGGGGGCATTACAGCAGCGCTCTGATCAGTCACTGTAACAGGATTCATCATCTAACAGACCGGCCTGCCTCATAGACAGAATAATATAGCCTAACAGAAACGTACGAGATCTGCATTCAAACCAAAGGCCTGGGTTTGGTTTAAACATTACGATGGACAATTTCAAGTTAATAAAACTACACAGATGAGTCATGTTTTTTTGAAGACTGACGTCTGCGATGCTGGCAGAGCAAATGCCATGAGCTTTAAATAAGGCTTAAAACTTGTGCACAGTTACAACTCTAATTTAATTTACAAAATTTAAGAAAATATTTTAATTTTATGAAAACAGAGTCATACAAAAAAATGAAAGTTATACACTACCTTTTTTGAAAGAATTGTATACTTTTCTTTTTTTATTCCGTTAAATTGACAAAAAGTGGCAGTCAACATTTTGTTACAAATTTGAAATACAAATTGTGTATTTCAAATACATGCTTTTCAATACTTTCTATTCATTAAAGAACCCTGAAAAACCACATCACTGTTTTTATAAAAATTATAAACAGCACAGCTGTTTTCAACATTGATAAAATAAATAATAATAATAATAAAAAAAAATGTTATTTGAGCAGCAAAATCAGCATATTAGAATGATTTCTGAATGATCATGTGACACTGAAGACTGGAGTAATGGCTGCTGAAATTCCAGCTTTGCCATCACTGGAATAAAATACATTTTAAATATATTCAATTGTAAACAGAATTCACAATAGTACTGTATTTTTTGACCAAATATCAATTTTTGACCTAAAAACAACAACTTCTTGTTTCTTTTCTCCTTCATTCACACATTTAATCTATCCATTCATTTACGCAGTAATCTAACCTATCTCACATAAAATTATGCCTAAACTTAATTACCCTCTATATTAAAAATTTCTAATAAATATTTTATGTTTATTTTTTTATTTTTTTTGCACGTACCTGGCATGTTCCTCTGGAAGCTTCCGCTGCCTCTGCATATGGAACATGAGATCTCCTCCGTTCACATACTCGATCACTAAAAACAGCCTGAACAGAGAGCAGGAGACATTCGTTAAGTTTGTGTTTTGTTTCATGCAACACCAGAAATAAATGTGATTGGCTGTTGTCACTATGATGGTCGCGTCTGCACCAAGCTTCAGACACACGCTCCATCAAGCGTCGACGCAGATGCCCCGTGTGTATGTACCGTAACTGTCGTACGCATATACACGAGAGAGTGGCGTTCCAGTTTTAAACATGGATATTTTTCTTACACAAACGCACTGATTCACTTCAGAAGGCCTTTATTAACCCCCCAGGACTTTTTATGATGGATGGATGCACTTTATTTTGCTTCAAAATCTCGACCCCCAGTCACTGCCATTATAAAACTTGGAAGAGCCAGGACATTTTTAAATATAACTCTGATTATATTCATCTAAAATAATAAAGTCATATACACCTAGGATGGCTTGAGTGTGAGTAAATCATAGGGTAATTTTCATTCTTAGGTGAACTGTCCCTTTAAGTACTGACAAGGTCTCGGGTAATGAAAAACAGCAGAAAATAGTGATATTGTGCATATGAAGAGCTAGAGTTTCAGCAAAATCAGACTTTCATGGTTGTAATGTTTTCTTGTGGCGAAGGTTTCTTATTTTGAGTGTACAACTGAAAAGTGGTTTGAAAAATGAAATACATTCTCCTCTTACCGGCTCTCTGTCTGAAAGCAAGAGTGAAGTCCCACTAAGAATGGATTGGTTGATGCTTGTTCAAAGACGTGTTTCTCTGTCTGGACCCAGTCAATGTCCTACATCAAAAAAAAAAAGAGAGATGTATGACTTATGAATAAAGAACTGCAAAGGATCATGACAGCAAGATGTTTCACTGCTTTCTAAGAACTAGAGTAGAGGACATGATGTCTCAACGCCTCTATTGGGGGACTATTGTAGGACAAAGAAAAAATCAAGCCTGTGTTTTCTGAGAAAAACCTGATCTATTGATCGTTTAACAGCGGAAAACACTTGGAACTATTGCATGCTGTCACTTTGGGGAGTCAAATCTCGGAATTAAAAATGTTTTAAATAAGAAAAGCACCTTTCTCTTCTTCTTTACAAAGACATGTACAGTGCAGAAAGAAACAGAGAAAAGAGAAACAGACATGTAAATAAATCACAAGATCAGTCAATAAATGTATAGAATTTACAGTATCTTTCAAATAAACACCTAACTTTTTTTTTTTTTTTGTCAGAAGCAAGCTTACACTTTAATTTCACAAAACCGTCCAGACAGGATGTTACAAAACATCTGTATTGAGAATGTCTCTGGGTGTGAAGATATGGCCCAGAGATGTGTTGATAAAGTCAAGTATCTTTCTTCTGTCAACACTTTAACATTAAGCAACACTTATAATCAGATCAAAGAATTCAAGAGAACGTCTGTTACCCAACAACTAAAGCTGAAAAATGACGAAAAGTGCACATCTTTTTGTAGGCTGAGGGTGAAATGAGAGATCTGAGCCCAAACAAACACGTTTGTTTTTCTGTCATGTCTGGAACTTTCCTTTGGCGAATATTGATTTTAAACCCAGCTAATGATGTTTTATGTCGCCTGACCTTAAACTTGACACTTACAGAAACTTTAATGGATTTTTAGATTTTAATTAGCATGTTTACGGAGTTGTTTTCCTCATGGGACATTCAACTCCACGGTGCAGGCAAAACCTGACCCACACACACACAAAGCCTGATTTCCAAAATCAGAACAATTTAATTTCCTGGACGAGTGGAAAGCAGATTACAGCAAAACAGTCTCAGCATAAGGACATGAAGAGAAACAGATGATGATTTATATATATATATATAT